ATATTGAAATGTTAAGGTTAGAGTGGTTGGTTCGCTCACATAGGAGGGTAAGTGTGGGTGTCAGTCGCAACCCGGTTTGGGTCGTGACATAAAATTGGGTAGCAATAGCATTTACCAACCATTTTCCGGTCTCGTCTTTGAAAAATCGCTATTGTCAAGAAATTTTAAAATTCACACGTAAAAGTATTGGTTAATCTGAAACCGTATCACTTATTTAATTGGAGTCTGTCACTAGACTTACATAAGCTCGTGCAAAAAAGATCTATATAGACGAGAAGTTTCTCAAATAAGATTTTTGTCTTTCGAAAAATATTGTATTATTATGTTTGAGATAGCCTTAGTGTAATTATTTTTTTTTTCTCTTAAAAATATAGATCAAAATCTTATAAATGTTGTAGTAAATTATAGGCATAATAAATAAATGTGCCCTTTAACTTGGCTTATGCCCTTCAGCTTTAGTTGTGCACAAATAGACAGTTAAACTTGTATAAAGTTGAACAAATAGACATACATGTCCTATATGTCATTTTTTATCGTACGTGGTGTTTTACGTGTATTGTGCCATGTAGGACTCATGTGTTTATTTATTTAAAAGTTGGATAATTAAAGTGTCTGTTTTTACATTATGAAAATTGAAAGTTAAAATTAAAATTTAAAGCCAAGTTTAGAGTTCAATATATGTATTATGCCTAAATTATAAGTAATTACCTCAAGTATTGGGACTAATTGTTGAGCAAGTTCCATAATAATACCATGATGTCCAGCACTTTTAATTGTATGGTGACCAATCACAATCTTCCATTTTGCAGTAGATTTACTTAATGCCAAATCCAAATCCTTTTTGCGAATCCCCAAAATAAAAATAATAAGAAAAAAAAAACTTTTGGACAAATAAAATTTAACATAAAAATCACAATATGCTAATTATATAAAGTATTATATATTATCTATTGAATGAGTATACTTATATATATTCTGTAAACTAATTATCTCAATTGTCTATACATTACTTATTTGACCTTTTTCTTTTTTAAAAACCCGTTTGAATATATATCGTATTTTTTTTTAAATATCGTATCGTTCATGTCTGAACACCTACTTAAATAACTCAAAATATACTCTAAAATACAATAATAATTATTATTAATTACCTTTAATTGATCATTGAGATATTTGTCCTTTGGTAATACACCTCTCCAGTCATAGGTATGCTCTTTTGGGTTTGTAAAATAATCATTCACAAAAGGGGTTGTGTCTATGAAGAAAAAATCCACAATTTCTGCTTCACCAAAAAAAATTTTAAAAAATATTTAATTACATGGGATAAAAAAAAGAAAATATTCCAAAAAATTTTGTAAAAATTTAAAAAATTATTGTTATTAAGTGCACTTACCTGCATGAAGAACATAAAATCTCAAACAAAACCATTTTTTATCCTTTTCTCTAAGGATTGGACTTAGTTGTGCCTCTACATCTCCCCTGTAGTCATGGTTTCCCAACACTACCACAAGAAAAAAAAAATTGAATCGAGGCGGAGTCGGGATTTAAAAATTATAGATTCGAAATTCTGATATTATTATAAGATTTTGTACGTGTCAATCTTAATTATAGATTTAGCGTATATCGAACCCGTCTTATATATGTATAAGTTGATTTAGATTGATAAAAATAAGTTTATGCTGCGAAATAAACAGATTCAATAAATTATATTTTCATGAGCTAATTTCACGACACATCCTCAGAATATAATAAATTGTATAAAAGATTAGGGAAAAGGGTTTGATATACCCCTCAATTTTGTCATTTAGAGCTGATATACCCTTTGTTATAAAAGTGACTCATATATACTCGTACTTATAAAAAAAATGACTCACATATACCCTTTTTCTATAACGGAAATGAAGAACAACAACTTTAATATAACTTTTTATTATTATTTTTTTCTAAAAATTATAATTCCATATGAGTAAATTTAATCCTCGTTAAACATATTTTTTTGACTTTTTTTTGTTTCAATGACTAATTTAGAATTATTACTTTGATAATCAAATTTATTTATGTTTCACTAATATTCTTGTAAAACTTATTATACATGACTAAAAATTTTCTTCGAATACAAAAATCAAATTACAATAAAAAAAATAGTTTCAAATTTTTTCTCTCTTTAAACTAAGGAATGAAAGAAAAAAATAAAATAAGATTAAGAAACTCAAATAATTATAATAAAAGAAGTCAAAAAATAATTTATGTATGAAAAAAATTAAAATATACCTTGAACTTTGATAGAAAAATCATATACACCCCTAAATAATTTTTTTTAAAAAAATAAAAGTAATAAATATAAATTATTTTTTTTAACTTCTGTTAAATAAAGGGTATATTTTGTAACGGCAAGAATATAAGTGAGTTGTTTATATAACGGTAAGAACATATATGAGCCACTTTCATAACGACAGATATATCAGCTCTAAATAGCAATGTTAAATGGTATATCAGACCTTTTTTCCGAAAAAATTATATACCATTGTACCACGTCTTTTGCAAGCTAGGAGCTTTGTAAATATTAGTGAAAGAATGTTGAAATGTAGGATCATTTACACCATTTAGCCCATCTTCATAGAAATTGTCACCACTTGATATTACAAAATCAATCTTTAGCTTTTCCCCTATCTCTCCCATCTATACACATGGAAATTAATTGGAAATAAATAAATAAATATATGATTACACAAAAATAATCACATGCAAAAGATTTGTTCCAAAAAAAATATTTTGTTTTCAGACCAATTCTCACAAAGAAATATGCATATGAAAATTCAAAATCTCGTCATTTCAAAATTTTTATTAGGTATTAAAATAGTTTGAAAGAGCAAATAAAATAATTAAATTTAGTAAAAATTAGATTGGATTGGGACTTGCCCCGTTATGTAACCATTACCTAACCCGTTATGATTCAACCTATTATGACCAAAACAAATTTGGATTAGATTGATTTTTTACCCGATTGTTATCTTAATCTATTATGACCCGTCTAAATTTGACCGAACTGTCACCCCTATTAGAGATGTTTTCTTCTATTGTTATAAGTTTTTACATTAATGTTTTTAAGTGCATTTATATCAAATTTTTATAAGACCTAAAGCTCTAAAATGCTTTTGAGTTTTGAAACAATATAAAAATATGTTTTCCCCACAATTAATTCCAATCTTGAATCTCCAAAGAATTATTCCTTTCTATTTGCGTGAAGAAAGAAAAAACTTGTGTCCTACACTCAAATATATATATATATATATTACTCTTATATTAGAAAAGGCTTATTTCAACATGCGTGGTTCATTGCTTTCAAGGTCATTTTTATCTTTTCAGTTTTATATATATAGAGAGAGAGATGCAAAAGTCATGCTTGAATCACACAACTCTTATTATAGAAACGTTTGTTATAAATTTGATCGCTCGTTAAAAATAATTATAAAATAACGAATTTTGGGGTCAATGATTTTTTATTTGATGTGGACTCTTCAACACCTTATTCTGGGAACCCATTATCGGTGAATATAAATTAGAATAAGATATGTTGATTTACTAAGATATGTTGATCTAATATCATTAAAAAATGAATTTTAAACCTAATTTAATCTTATCAAGTTATTCAAAAAATATCTATAAATATTGACCTACATTAAAAAAACGATATGTAATCTTGAAAACTAAAAATAAGATATATAATCTTAATAATGTGACAACTATTTACATCGTCGATAAATATTAGTTAAACTCATTAAATAATCACAAGAGAAAAAGCAATGAAAGAGGAAGTCAAAGTAGGTGGTTAGTAACAACGAACAAGTTTAAATTAATTAATTAACTGTCATTAAATTATTATAACGAAAATTCATAAAACAAAATAAAAATTCTTATTTCTTCAATAATATTTTTAAGAAGTTAGATATAAATAATCGTCAATCAAAATAATTGCATAATTAAGAACTTGTAAGTATATATTATGAGAAGAATTTAAAACTTGATCACAAGAACACATGGTATGATACGTTTACAACTAACCAGACATTATTTTAGATATTATTTTTCAATTTTTCTATGTTCGATTGGTTAAATTTTTTGAAAAATAATTTTGAATAACAAATTTAACAAAGTGAAATTTTTGTATATTTATGTTGTCTTTTTTTATTCTCCGACACATTCCATCTTCACCCTCGTTCCATCACCCCAAACCCCTATCCCCCATTTATTTTAAGATAATATTTTTTGCTTACGTTTCAGTAGACATCGAAATTAAGTGAAACTTTATCTTCAGTTAAGTTTCTTGAATGTTTCTCTATTCTAAATCATAATTCATATATACCTACATAAAAAATATAGGTTCTTTTGAAAAAACATTTTAAAAGTTCCATAAATTCATAGAACATTCACAAAGTTCATCAAGATATGATCGATGCATTCTTCCTAACAACTATATAATGAAAAACAAATATAACTCAAAGACTCACAATTTCATCATCCTAGTTCAAGAAATACGTCATTTTTAATCCTCGAATCACGAAAAAATATTAAAAGAGAAAACTCAAAACATAAACAGATTTGTACTCACAATCTTAATTAATAAAATCATTTTGTTTGTTTATTTTGTAACTAAGGTGAGAAACATAAACAATAATTCAATTTATTTTTCTAGAAAACATTTTTCTTCGTACCGAATGCACGTGAACTCTCAAATATTTTCATAAATATTTAAATAATTAAATAAAAAATTGTAAAAATGAAAGATGAAGAACCTGGATGGCCAATTCTGATTGATTATAAAGTCCTTTCCTTCCCCAATCTCCAATAACAAGAAAACTAAGAGAGCCATCATCTTTTAGTGATTGATTAAAATATGGAAATTCAGCACAAGAAATTAAAAAACAATATCCAAAACTAAAAAAGAAAATAATAACATATTTAAAATTCATAGTAATTATTTTCTTGGGAAAAAATGCTTCCATTTGATATTATATGAAAAAAAAATGAAATTACTTTGGAGGGAATTATTATTATTATTATTATATGAGAAATGGTTTTACTCCAATGAAAGAAGGGTATATTAATGGAATATCCAAAAGTTGTCTTTTTTTGTACTTTTCAACTATTCCATTTGGAAAGGAACATATAATAAAAAGTTGCAAGAATATGTCCTTAAATGAAGTTTTTGAATATTAAAAAATTTCCTAAAAAATATTATAAATTGCAATTTATGTAAGTATGATAAAAAAGAAATGTATTTTAAAATATTAATCACAATTTAAATAGTTTGAATCTAGAAAGTAAAATAATGATTCAGGGGAGTCTGTTTTGAGGAATATGGACAGTATAAAGAGTTTACACAATTAAATTATTTCTGTTTTTTTGTAATAATGTTATTTTCAAGATTATAAATTTTTCTTTATATAAAAATTTACTTATGAATATCTTTTAAATAAGTTAAATTGATTACATACCCCAGAAATGAGATCGAAATAAGAATAAAATGTATACAAACTTTACTTTTATCTCACATAATAAAAAGGTCGCACTAATTTCAAAAACCTCGACTCAAATAACAAATAACAAAACAATTTAAAACAAAAACGAATCTCCACTACAGGTGTAAATTAAACTTAAACTATGTTACAAGCCAAGGTATCGTTATATATTTTATTCAAATCTTTGCTTATACGTATCTCTCACATGGATACAACAAAAATAAAATGATCAACGTGTTGTGTTCTTCTTTTTCTTTTCATTTTGGATTTTTCGAGCTATATTGAAGTTTAAATAAAATTGAATCACGTATTTTGAAAATTTTATTTTTCTTGTATGTGGACTTTCAATGTGATTTTTTCCATCGTGGGAGGCTTGAATCAAGATCTTTAATTAAAATGAAGGAATCTCAATCATCTCATCACAATTCAGATAAGATAAATTAAGAAAATCTTAGAAGTGTATGAAAAACGAAGCCTTTTATAGATTTGGCACTTTTAGATTCTATAAATAATAATTAATTCGTTCACATGTACTTCCATTGAAATAATTAAAACAAGAAGAGCTAAATATACCATACAAAAGACGGACAAATAGTAAATTTTTCTTTCCAAGTGTGGAAAAAAGAAAATTAATTAGACATCATCAAAGAAGAAAATGTCAAGAGTTCATTTTAGCCTACAAGTTTTTTTCTGACTTCATATATATATATATATATGAGAAGAGAAATACTACTACTCATTACTTTTATATAATGAGTTGAAATTTTTCTGTGAAGCTACAATAAAGTTTTGTAACTAAGTTGCTCATCTAATATAAGATATATATATATATGTATAATTATGTCTGACAAGACAACAAAAAGGAAGAGCATGAAGAAGAGGTAACTCTCCTTTCCTTGCTCTGATGGAAGTATAACTCTGAACAATTGCTGTTCTGCTCTTTACATTTTCTTCAAACTCACTGCAGTTTGTGGCGTAAACCTTCGGCTCCATCGATCCATTTGCCATTTTTCCACCTTGCTTTTCTGAAATCAGCATGTTAGTGTTGTTCTTCACAAGCCACTGCTTTCTCTGCATCACTAACATCTGCCTTTCCATTGCAGTCTTGTGTTTGTACTTCACTACTATCTGAGTTGACTTTCTGAGAAACAGTTGAATCACTAAGAGGACCAGTATTTTCAGCAGGAATGTTGTCAGTGGATGATGTTCCGGAGCCTGGAGGAAGGAAAACGCCAGTGCCAGGGAGTGGCAGTCGCGGTGGGGGATGCCTAATAGGGGGTACAGCCCATCCAGCTGAGGCAGGTGGAAGGGCAACTGGTGCTGGAAAAGGCATAGCTGGTGCAACCGTAGCGGGAACAAAAATTGGCTGCATATTTGCAGGAGCAAACTGCGGACGAACACCTGGAATAGGTAATACACCAGTTGCTGGCATGGAGCCATAATGCTTGGGCCCAAAAGGACGACGTATATGATTTGATGACCTGCTAGGAGGAACCCACTGGGAAACGGGACCTCCTGCTGATGAAGGGAAACGTTGACTATCACCAGACTTGATTCTTCTCAGCTGTAACTTTGTAAAAGTAACAAGCATTCGCTGCTTCCGGATGGATGGAATTGCATATTTCGCAAATTCAGTTGATCTTCCCTGCATTACAAGTACAGACCTGTGCATTTTCAAAGCAGAAAGATTCATTAGGTGATTACTCCAGGAAAATAGAGACAAAGTAGCAAAGTGAAAAAAGAAGCAGTGGAACATAAAGTGTTGTGCATATATAAGATAGAGAGTGTGTGTGTAGGGTTATTTTCGCATTTTAGTTCAAGTGATAGAGATAATGTTGATTTTGGTCTAACAGAGATATATTAGTAATTGTGTCAACTAATTAGTGGGATATTTATGGCTTCTACTACTTCAAACCATTTCAATGTGCTACTCAGACCACTAAAGACTCTTCTCTCATCCTAAATTGTCATCATTACACTATTGCAAGTTAAGTATAGCTAGTTACTGCAACCTCAGACTGATTTAGAGTCAAAGTTATATAATTCAAGGAAAAGTACAACCTCCTCAATACATGCCCCCATGACAAAATAGTAACTGAAAGAAAAAGAAATAATTGAACAAAAAAGGCCGAGGAAAGGACTACCCTGGTGCAAGAGACAGTTTGAGAGAGCCTCGATAATCGCCTGGATGATCCACACCAATCACCTTACCAAAAGTCATTTCACAGTCTGTCAAGAACAGAGTAGATATTGGTCGTCCATACCAATAAGGCCATAAATGAGGCTGTGAGTGGTCCCCCTACATTTATTAGCACTATATCAAATCTGCAAAGCTTTCTGACCAAAATCACCATGACCATAAGAACTGAAACTACTGCTTGCAAACCTCATTGAAGATATCAATAACGCAAGCATCCGGCTTCACAGACAATGCTTGCATAGCACTCAGTTGATCAATAACATCTTGGAGAAGGCCAGGTATTGCTTCCGTTTTCCGGTCTACAAATAAGAACCCCATAAATACACTGGAAAGAGAAAAACATATAAGTTTATCCTATTGCATAAATGTTAGACATGCCTTTGTATGTTGAAATGGCAGATTCTTCCTCGGGAGGTGCATCTACAATGGGAAGCCCCAACTGGACCATCTCCCTTCCATGGCCCTTCATAGGTCTCTTTGAGACAATAAATGCCTGTGCTGCTTGTCAAAACATTTCTAATCATTGACATCTATATTAAAGTGTCAGATACAAAGGATAGCACTTCAATCACAAGAATCTGATCCGGCTATGCTCTTTCTAATTCAACTCTCTAGCTTATCTTGCATTTAATGAATTTACGAATATTATGATGTGAAAACCACACTACTGATAAACATTTCATTCGGTAACAGGTAACTGAAGTCCCTGTACCTAAGAATGCTAAACCAACATAAAGTGCATACTGAAGCTGCATTTGTATGACATTAAAATAAACCTTTTTACCGGTTTTTACCTAAACAAATGTGCTTGTCCCAACAAATATTTATACATATTGGAACAGACCACTTCCATCTTTTAATGATGTAATTCCATTTTGTCTTCTATTACTAAAGATAATGTGACCTCATAAAATGCAAATAATTTCAACTTTTAACTGCAAGTAACTATCACCAGAGATATTCCATGTGCCCCACCCAACAACCTGAACTACTATTACATGCTACTGACCTTTATGTCCAACCAAAGACAAAAAGTATCCTAATCTTTTTATCAGTGGAAATACTTTAATAATTCGGAAGAGTTTCTAAAATAAGTTCTTTCTTTTTTAACATTTAGTTTCAGATAAGAACTCCCCTCATCAAAGATGAAGATTAAACAGGAGTAAAAAAGTAAGTATACAAGGCAAAAACAGCATAATAAATATTAAAGAGAGAAAGTAAAACAGGAAGGAGAAAAATTACTGATCTTAAATTTATGTAATAGCATATAATTTTTGTTTAAACAGAAAAAAGTGAATAGGGGCAAGGCTACTAAAACTGAAAGCTATATCAACAATACTTGAGCTTGATTCCAAAATTCTTCCTCAGCTGATACAAAATTGGACTACTTTCCCTTAGTAATAGCAGAAAAAGTAACTCTTACTCTCACATGGTCTATCTTGACAATTCTGATTAGTATTCAAAAGGCAAGATTCAAAGTAAGAAGAGGGAATATGTCTTAACTTCAGTAAAGGCATCATCTTGGTCCAGTGATTCTAGTTTCAGATTCAAAGGTAAATTGACCTTAAAAAGGTTTCATATAACTTATCTATTCGAGAAACCCCCCACCCCACACACAAAATCCCAAAATAAAATGAAGCTAGCACTCAAGGAGGATGTTTCAGATCATTCACGGAAACAGCCACAAGATGCTCCAGATTGAATAAGACTGTTTTGTCTTTTCCCATGTTTGCCAACTCATAGACTTTTTTCTCGTCCCCAACCCAACCCATCCCCCAGCCCACAATCCCAAAACATCAAAAACAAATGAAGTGTAGAAAGAGCTACCACCCAAGGCGTTTCAGATCATTCATGGAAACAGCCGCATGTTGCTCTACATAGAATAAGTGAGACTGGTTTGTTTTTTTTCCCATGTTTGACATCGCATGAACTTTTTACTCGTCAAATCAAGGCTTAATTGACAAGTGCCACACTCCAAACACAGAATAAACAACTTACCAGGAAGCTGTCCCCTTCTACCAGCAGCTCTCAAATCATTTACCAATGTAACCAGTTTTGACACTTCTGAACTGCTAAGCAATTCCTCGTAAAGTTTCATGCCATCAACAACATTAACCTACAGAAGAAACCGCTGATTCTTAAATTATGAACAAATAACTTCACATCTTGAGCCAAGTAACTATGTCGGATGAATTTCACAAATTGCACCAATATGGTGCTAGTAGGAAAAGTAAAAAGCCCTTTGGCTCCCTTAATTATGCAGGGAGTTACAAAGGTCAATAAAAGTATTTACATTATACAC